TGAGTGTGTCAGCAGTCTAACTGGATTTCATCATCTCGAGTGGACAGGACTTAGGTGCTAAGACGGAAGCAGAGGTTCAGGAACAATAAATGGTTAAGTGAAGAAATTATGGAAAGACAGTGTGGTCCAAAGTTGTTAGTATAGCAGGTGCAATGAGAAAATTGACTGAATTCTTGGTGGCTGAGAATAGCCAGTGATGCATTACAGATGCACGGATGAAAACCTTAGGAAGGAAGAAGGTGGTGTGGAACTGAGTGAGGTGGGGCTACATGAGGAAGGCAGGAGCAAGTGACGTCGGTGAGCAGGGCATGTTGGTGTCATGGATGAAGTAGAACTGGCTTAACTAAATGCCGAAAATGGCAGAGCTTGGTCTAGAATTTTGAAAGAAAAAATGTGATGCATGAACCATATCCAGGCAAGCAAGCATTCTTTCTCAAGGGCAACAGAAAGGCATTTTTGGACACAGAAGGACTCAAATGACATTTTTCTTTTCTCTCAGGTTGATTCATTCAACACCATTAAACACTTACTGAGTACCTACTATATGCCAAGCACTATTCTATTTTAGTTATACCACCTAGCAAGACAAATACCCCTGTCCTTGTGGAACTGAATTCTAGCTGTGAGGTGTGTGTGTGTGTGTGTGTGTGTGTGTGTGTGCGCGCGCGCAGATAATAAACAATAACCATAGCAAATAAGTGAATTAACCACTATGTTTGAAACTAATAAGTAACTGAAAAAAAATCAGAATAAGGATGGTGAGGGTAGGCTTCATTGAGAGGCTTCTAGATGACCCATATTACAATTTTGTATTTTGCAATATTCATTATGCTGCTAATTGACCTCATTACATTTTCAATTTGGCAATTATGATTTTTAGTCATTTTTGATGAGAATGTTGGCTAAAGATAAAATTATTTCCTAATACCACCAGGAAACCAAGCGAAGTCCACAGCAGAAATCTTTCTCCTAAATATTTTTCTACAACCAGTACAACCAATTGAGCATTGATTTTTATTCATCCAGTTTTGGTTCGTGCAATTTTATTTTATTTTATTTTTTTAATGTTTTTTAAAAAATTTATTTCTGAGAGAGAGAGAGAGAGACAGCATGAGCAGGGGAGGGTCAGAGAGAGAGGGAGATACAGAATCCAAAACAGGCTCCAGGCTCTGAGCTGGCTGTCAGCACAAAGCCCGGCGCAGGGCTCAAACCCACGGACTGTGAGATTATGACCTAAGCCAAAGTCAGATGCTTAACCTACAGCCACCCAGGTGACCCTGGTCCATGCAGTTTTAAATACAAAAGAATTTTCTAAATGCATACTTCCTTCAGATAATTCATATCCATTATAGAAAATTTGGGAAATATTAAAAAGTGTAAAAAAATATAACATTTCCAATTGCTCAAAATGATTTCTAGATAATTTTGTAACCAGTATCACCATCCCCACCAAAATAATTTAAAAAGCAGCCCTAACTACATGGCAATGAGAAAGAATGAAATCTGGCCATGTGTAGCAACATGGATGGAACTTGAGGGTGTTATGCTGAGAGAAATAAGTCAGGCAGAGAAGGACAGATACCATATGTGTGCACGTATAGGAGGATTAGGAGGAACTTAACAGAGGACCATGGGGGAGAAGAAGGGGAAAAATAGTTGGGGAGAGGTAGGGAGGCAAATCATGAGAGACTCTTGAATGCTGAGAACAAACTGAGGGCTGATGGGGGTGGGGTAGAGGGGATGAGGGGTGATGGGCATGGAGGAGGGCACTTGTGGGGATGAGCACTGGGTGTTATATGGAAACCAACTTGACAAATAAACCATTAAAAAAAAAAAAAGCAACTCTAACGATCTACCGCTGAGGAGTCAAAGGCTACACCTGCAGCATGTGTAGTCATTTCTCGAAAAAGAGCTCCAAAAGCATGTTAGCAAAGGTCGCACCCCTAAGCCTCTAACACCAAATAAGACCACTGTGATGAATTGTCATGATTTAAATTCTATTTGGATATCTACATTCCAGTTAGGCAAATATTTTAATTGATTTCATGACTTCAAGGTCATTCCTTCCTTATTATTCTTTACTATTCACACACTTGAAGGGAACTGCTTATCTCTGTAGAAATGAATCCTGCTAGCATCTGAATTCCACCTGCGCATAGATGGGAGTTCAAGGTTGACATCATTTGAATACAGTGCCTCTGTGTTTCTACTAGCAGTTGTGGTCTGGAAACTTGGGTTACTACTGGCTTCATTTAGATAACAACTTAGCATATTATTTTTCCCTTTTCATTAAGATCATTTAAAAAGCTGTACAAAGGTTCTAAGCATTTTACATTATTATGCAAAGCAGCTCACTTTACCTACACATTTAATAATATCTGACAACTATAATATCATTCTTAAATGGTTGTGCAGAAAGTGCAGCTCTGTGCCAGTGTTTCTGAGGCCATTAGGGCACAGAGGTCTCCAAATGTGGTGGGGCTTACACTGCTGGAGAGGGGCAGAGCCCAGGCTGACTCTCGGGCAGATGCCTAAAGGGTTTAATGACCATGGAAATAGGACCAGTGCCTCTTTGGACCTGGGGTACCTCAAGGCCATGACCTGTTCTTGGAAGGCCACATGCTCTTGCCCATCAGGAGGAGTTGGAGTACAAAGCCCTGGCCCTCCAGCTCCTGACTTTGCCTGCAGAACCTGGTCCCCAAGCTGAGGCTTTGGCCAACGGCCCGCCCCCTGGGGAGGAGGTCATGCATTTGAAGAAGCTGTCAAAATGAGCTTTTATACCAGCTGTCGGCCTCATCCATCTTCAGTAATAACTTACTGTCAAGTAACAGGAGCCTCCAAAGATGGAACGTAATGAGGCTTTCCAGTTAGCTCTACGGCTGGGAGAGGTGATAGGAGAAATGCACATGGAGGTGAAGGCAACTAGAGATTATTCTTTTAAAAAAAGGCCAATCTAGTCATTCAAAGTCTGACACTTCTCTCTATATGATCCAAAGAAAGAGCATGTTATAGAAGGTGTGTGTTGTCAGTAACGTGAGCACAGAGGGGTGGGAGCAGGTGATTTTGCAAGGGTTTCAAACAGACTCGAACAGTATCTAAAATGTAGGCCCCAAACCACCTCCATCAGAAGCTCCAGGGAGCATGTTAAAAATGCAGATGCCTGCCCCTTGCATCCTCCAAATGAAAATCTGAGTGGCTGAAAAACTGCATGAAAGAGCATTGTCAAATGGTCGGAACTATAAGCCCTCTAGGTCTGAGTGAGCTGTATTTAGAACAGTAATGGCCAGTTGCCTCAGAGCAGTGGGAATACCATTTGTTGAGAAGAGGGAGTTATGGGCTGAATGTTTTCATCACCCCCAAATGCATAGGGTAACACCTAATCCCCAATATGATGGCATTTGGAGGTGGGGCCTTTGGGTGGTAAGTAGGTGATGAGGGTGGTACCCTCACAAATGGAACTATTGCCCTTGTGAGAAGAGGCCAGTGAGCTAGCTGGCTTTCTGCCATTTGAGGAGACAATACGGTGTGTCAGAGATCTATGACCAGAAAGAGGGCTTTCACCAGAACCTGACTGCATTGTCCCCCCACTCAGAGACCTCCAGCCTCCAGAACTGTGAGAAATCAATCTCTGTTGTTTATGAGCCACTTGGTTTATGGTAGATTGTTCTAGTAACCTGAGCTGATAGGGGGCAGAGTTTTTCTGAACATTGGTTGGCCTATTCAGTTTTGGCCCTGTACTTAATGACTCTTGTGTTCCCACCTCAGGCTAAGGAACATAAAGATTCCTCACACGAGACATGGAGGGTGTCCTCTACCACCCTCCACTCCTGCCAAAGAGAAAACAAAGTTTTCCCCACAAAAGAACTTTTTTTTTTTTTTAGGGATGTGAATTTGTCAGCTACCTGAGGTAAGAATGTAAGGGGAGTATGGTGTTCAGTATGGCCAAGTATGGCTTTGGGACCCGGACTTCTAATGAAAGATGGGTTACATGTTTAGGAAGAGTTTTTTAGAATAACATGTCTTCAAATACTTGAAGAGTCTAAGGTCTAAAAAGGGGCTGGGTTGGCAGTGACATTGCTAGTAGGGTCCACACTGAGGGGCTTATGGAGCCAGAGCTCTGCAGTGGGGCCATCTGAGGAAGCCCATGGCTGGTGGAGTTCCAACAAATAAGGAAAAATATCAAGAAGATTATGTGACACACAGCCAGACTGGCATTGGTTAGTGTTGTGTTGCATGTCCTACAAAGTTGGTCAAGGGTTCTACACCATCTAGTCTGCACACAACTCTGTGAATCATAAAGATGGCAGGCAGCCCCGTTCACCAGTAAGTGAACACATTTAGAGAAGCTAATTCACTTGAAGTCACAGGGTTAATAAAGATAACCCGGCACTCCTCCCACACTTGGCTTTCACAGCAGCTCCCAAGTCTGGAAGAGGGACTCTGCTTCACGAGAGAGCAGACAGATGTCTGTAAGCACACAGCTTACAGCCTGCAAGGTGGAAGACCTGAAATGACTGTATTCATTACACAAATCACACACTAGCAAGTGAATATGGCTGAGTTCTCGTGAGAAATGGCCCAAACCGGACCTGTATTTACCCAACAGTTTTAAGAGAGTACTTCCAAAGCTTTTCTATCCTCTCTCATAGCTCTAAACTTTGTTAAGATCATCTGGTGTGGGGTGGTAGAAAGGGTACCAAAGTCGCTAATAAAGTAGTTGAAACATAGGAACCAATGACAAAATTGTGCTGGCACCAAAAATACTGTTTGGAAATGTCAGTTTCAGTAGACCTAAAGATTCTAATTATAATTTAAGACTATAATTTGTGATGCACTTTGGGAGAAAACACAGCCAGTTTTAGCTCCCTAGAAACATGATTTAATGGCATCTGGCATAAGTCATGTGTGAGGGCTTGGTAGTTCAGTACTGTAATTGAGCAACGCTTTTGATGAAAAATGAAGGCACGTTTAATGCAAACAAATGAGCGGAGTCACACAACTGTAAGATGACTGACCTTTATTGTCCTTTGCTGTCTGTGCAGAGGCAAAGGAATGGCAAAGCAAGAGGTGTTTGGAAAATCTCGGACTTGCAGGAAGGTGAAGGTAGAAGTCCCCCGTGGATGGAGCACTGGTGGTCCACACTCCAAATCACGTGGGGACCCTGCCCTGGCCGCCTTCCACACTGTCAGCAGATTCACACTGGGACTATCAAATCCACCCTCCTCTGGACCACCTGCCGCCACACGTCCAGGGACGCTGGAACCTTTGTAAATACGATTTCTGATCTACCTCAGGCAGCTGGAGAACTTCCCACGGTGGTTTGGGACAGGATGGAGGATGACTGTCAGTTTTCACCATAAGGCTTTAAAGAAGTTACTGAAGCCAAAATGTGTATCTGTCTTGTGTCCTTTAATTGCTAGTTTCTTCCTTAATTGCTATGTGTAAATCCAAGCCTTTTAGCTATCCAGACACTCATACACAGGGATTCTAGCATTGGGTCAAAATGGAACACACCACAGTGAGACCCGAAAAGTCAGAAGGACTTGTATTTCCAGGGATAAGGTATAGAATCCGAGTGCTTTGTCTAGAGTAGTGATCCACACCACTCACCTGGATATATATTCTTATGTAATTGGGTACCCCAAGTCCAGGTACGACACCGAACTTCTGATTTATATCAAAGGCAACAAAGAGATATAATCAAATCACAGAAAACAGAAATGGCAGATTAAGAGCAAACTCTCACCAAATATCTTATTTCTCCTGGAAGGCTTCCTGGGCTGGTATTGGAAGGCTGTAGCCCCGAAGTCCCATCTCTGGCTTTGCAACGTTGCCCTACCATGTACCAGCCATGTGACCTTGTGCATTTACCTTAAGCCTCATTTTCTCCATGTATATAAGGCGATGAGAGCAGAGCCACCTCATGGAGGCAGTAATGAGGAATAAGTGAGGACACATAGATGGGGCGCTGAATATGCATTTGTTGTAATTAGCCCACGAAAGCACGAATCCCGTGACATGACTTTGTTTCCAGTGCCTGGCACATTGCGACCATTCGAGATTCGCTTACCGATTAGGCAAATGAAAGTTAAGACCCACGTGAAGAGAGAGAAGCTGCAGCTGAGAAGTGGGGTTGATAAAAGTTTAGGAAAACGTTTTGTAACGAATCATTTCCAAGGAGCAAAGTTAAGACCAGGCTTTAAGATTCTGCTTTCTCTCGGAGAGTTTCACTAATTCAAATTTATTATTTCAACATACAAAAATGTGGTGGTAGAAAAAGAAACCACACAAATAATAAATTTATTAGACTCCTCTCTAAAAATGTTTCCCTGTAGGCACTGACTGTTCGGTAACTGCTAGAGCAATTACTCCCCCGTAATTGAATCTGAGTTTTCCCAAAGATTAATACACACATTGTCTTGTCATAATACTTTTTTTTTTATTACAATATCCAAAAAACTGAGTATGCAAGTTTAGGAGGTCTTGGGACCCCTTCTTCAGTTGTAGGAATGTGCCATCGCAAGACTGTATATTTCAACTATAAAGAAGTTCAAATGTAAAGAAAAAAATGCAATTTCTTCATAAACATTCTGTGTGTCTCTTAACTACCAATCACATATTCTCTTGTAAACCCTGAAAAATTCCCTGTAAAGCAAATAGTTTTTATACACACACATATATATACATACACACCTGTGTATGTATATATATGTGTGTGTATATATATATATATATATATATGGTGTGTGTGTGTGTGTGTAAAGTGTGTGAAGTGTACAGTAGCTCCCCTTCCCCAAAGATCAGCTGTTTTCCTTAATCATCTGTATTAGTGTCAACAAATGGCTACAGATACATATTACTTTGAGAATTAAATACATAATTGTGAAATTTAAACAAGCCAAAGGGCAAGAGGAAAAAGCACTATGCGGATGGCACATCTGGGGGGAAATGACCACAACATGTGTCTTTCTGAGTCACCAGTCCCATTTCAGCGGACTGACTTTCAAGGAAATTTCTTTTATTGCAAGCATAGCCCCGAAGGCACTGGAGTTTCCTTACTGCTGTCTCATCTGGTGGTTCTGGTACTGCTTCCGGCAAGGGTATCCACTCTCCCCGGACAGTCCGGGAGCCATGCAAAGGCAAGGGGCATGGGGCCAGGGCTGCCAGGACCGGGGACCTTGCAGGTGCCGCCTGGCCAGAGAGGGAGCCCCGAGCCCGTGGACCCTGCTTTCTGAGCGAACTGTAGTTCACATAATTGATGGCAGCTTCGGTGCATTCAAACTGTGCCCCATGTCTTTCTAACGAGGGGTTCTGTTAGCGTGAACAACCCAACAGAGGAAGGCTGTTTTCAGTGGCGCAGGAACAAAGTGAATGAACGTTCCTCTTCGCCTCCTGTTCCCTGAACCTGGCCGGGAGGAGGGCGGCTGGCGAGCGAGTGTCAGGGCGCGGTACGTGGCAAAGGAGAGGCAAGTAGAAAACAAACCGACCGGCACGCAAAGATGAACTGAGGCAAAGGAAGCCAAGAAACGATGATGAACCACTGGACAGGGCGGAGCCTGTAGCAGGAGGGCCCGGGAGCTCGGCTTCTTCTCAGTGGCCAATCTGCCCGGCTCTGGGGAGGTGATCGCGGCACCGAGGGCCTGGAGGTGGCAGGTGGCATGGACTGTGGGAGGAGCCGTCACTGCAGTGCTCTCACGAGGTAGAGCTTCTCCCCGTGCTCACTGGTGAAGATGGGTGCCTTTTTGTAGTGTTCCACCAACTCGTCCATGGTGTGAAACCGCCGCTGCCCGATGCAGTAGACATTGTCCACGAGCTGCACCTTGAAATGTTTGTTCTTCCCTGATGCTTTCAGAGACACGGAGAAGTCACTGGGCTGGGGAGGAAACAGAACACAGTCAGGATGGGCCGGTGCAGGAGTCGCAGGGAAACACCAAGCCCGTGTGCACAGGGGCCGGGTCTCCTGGGGTATCTCGTCTGGCACAAAATGTTCAGAATGACTGACAGGCCGTCCAAAGTTCACATGCTCTGAGTCCGAGCAAAACTGCAATTTGCTTAGTACGACTTCGGTGCCAAATAGATTTTGGTCTGAAAATCGGGGGCTCCACAGCATGTAGGACACCAGTGTGAACTTGATGCTGAAGAAATGTGCATTTTTTACAATTTCCCAACCTATTTGTGATAAACTGGGAATTTGTAAAAAGTGGATTTGCATATAGGCAGCAGCTAGAAATTTCTTTTTTGCTGATTGTTAGAAATTAAGCTATCAAAAAATGTCAAATTCTAAGCTATTTAAAAATAAATAAGAGCAGTTGAAAACTCTGGCTGCATTTTAAACATGGTTGGTAATATCCGGGGTGGGGCGGGGCTATACAATGGTTTAAACAGATTTTCCTGAGAAATGTTTAAATTTGAGATTACATCAGTGCCCTACTTACCTTTGAGAACGTTTTTAGAAAGATATCATTATTTTTATTAAAACTGGTCTTGCCTCTTCTGAGGCAGGTGAAGCTGATGGGGGAAGTGGAAGGAGGTTGGCCTCCAGCAATGGCCTCAGAATAAAATCCAACTGCCCACCACAGCCCACTGGGGCTGTGTTACCTGGCCCCTGCCGACAGATCTAATGAAGGAGATGAAAGTATGTCCAACCCCTCATACCATTTTCACATCTATTCACATTGTTCTTTGAGCCATCCTGTCCTCTGACCTTGAACAATTATTCCTATAAGGCTCAGCTGAAAGGTTTTCCACCTGAGGAAGGCTCCCCATTCTCAATCAAGATAAGTCCCCGTCCCCGCCCCCCACCTTGTCTGGCCATATAGCATAAACAATGGATTCCGGTGGCAGGAGCAGAGTGTATTCCAGTAACTTCTCTGTAATAAATACTTTACACGTATGTCTTATTCCTTCATTACGCATTAGGCCAGGTAGACCACATCTCTTCCACCTCTATATTCCACACAGAGCCATACAGGTGGCAAGTGCCTACTATGGTTTTTTATCTTTTTTTAAAGTTTACTTATTTATTTTGACACAGAGCATAAGCAGCTGAGTGGCAGAGAGAAGGGGAGACAGAATCCCAAGCAGGCTCCACACCACCAGTGCAGAGCCCCTACGTTGGGCTCGAACCCATGAACCCTAAGATCATGGCCTGAGGCAAGATCAAGACACTTAACTGAGTGAGCCACCCAGGCATCCTGAGGCCACTACAGTTGTTAACTGAATTCCTAAAGCAGATTCAGCATTCCTCAATACCCAGCACCTTCCTGCTGCTGAGGAACCCCCCACCCCAGCTTTGTGTCCTTCCCACCGGGACAAAATGAACAAGCATTTCAGCCATTATCTCTTACACAGAGTTTATAAATGTTTGAGCCAAAGTGTGCAAATCTTGCAAAACAAGCAGAAATCCCATAAAGTCAAGCAAAGCTTGCAAAGCAAGTGGAAATCCCATAAAGGCAATGACAATTCAGGGAAATGAATGTCTGGGGACATTCAACTCTGTAAAAGCACCTTGGGGCGCATCCACCAGTCACAGCTGCTACCATGAAAGAATCAAGAGACAACTGTATTCTTAGTTGGTGTTTATGTATCCCTCTGTCTCAAACAGACCAAACAGAAGCAAACCTTTGAGGGAAAAGCCCCATCTTATCTCTATGCTAATCTCAGGGCTTGATGACCGGAAGAGGACACAGGAAGATTTTATCTCTGATTTAGCCTCAGGCTACATATGATTTTCAGAATCATGGCCACTAGAGGGTCAGGGGGTGGGGAGAAGGACACAGAACTTGAAAAGTATTTCCCACACCAGATCTCTTAGAAACAAAGTGTCACAAACCCTGATGTCACGATGATCCCGTCAATCCACCCTACTAACAAAATATTCTAAATGGCACAAAACAGTGTTTATTTTAAATTTTTTTTTAATTTTTTTTTAAATTTATTTCTAGGAGAGAGAGAGAGAGAGAGAGAGAGAGAGAGAGAGAGCAGGGGAGGGTCAGAGAGAAGGAGTCACAGACTGAAACAGGCTCCAGGCTCTGAGCTGGCAGTCAGCACAGAGCCCGACGTGGGGCTCGAACCCACGAACCGTGAGATCATGACCTAAGCGAAAGTTGGACGCTTAACCGATTAAGCCACCCAGGCGCCCCAACAGTGTTTATTTTAAATAATCACTTGACTGTACAATTCTCAAATCATGACTGTTTTCACAGGACCGAACAACTAGATAGATGCAGGCTAGCATCGGCGTCCTCAGAATTATCACCCAAGCTGGTTGCTGTGTACAGTTCTAAAAAAAGAACACAGTGAAACAGGTGCCGCCTGAATGGTACTCCATGCGTGAGCAAGGCCTGCGGTGCTGGCATCATTGTGGCTGTCACAACAGTTATTAGTCCTAGTGGATCAGGATGCTGCAACTGTATGCCCCGGTACATATGAGTTATGAACCACTCCATCCTCTCTTGAGGGCTTCAGGTTTTCCTTAAAGGAATGTTTAGTTTCAAGCTTCTACTAATTTTATAGAGATATATGTATTCTGGGACAGGAGTTTGTGCCTTTTGGAGAAGACAGAAGGTGATCTCACCTTTATAGTTTAGCACAAGCTGGGCCTGCGCTAGTTATATAGATACTTCTCTATTCACAGACAAAGCAGCATCATTGTGGAGGTAGTACGTGAGTCAGGGCAAGTACATGATATACCCAATTTTAATTAAGCCAAATGATCAACAGATGACTTTCTGAATAGGGAAATTTGCTTTTAATTTAAGGTCCTCAATTTAATATCATGGCACATCATGTGTGTATGTGTGTTACGGTAGTAAAACTGATGCAGCAGAGAAGGTAAGTTTTCATTTCATGGGCTTTTGAGCAGAAACCTCAAAGTTAAGGACATAGAATGAACCAAGTTCATGTCAAGCAGGAATGCTGAACATTTGGGGAATTCTCAATGCATCCTGAGTAGAGTTTCTAATCTACAAACAAAAGCGCAGTTACATGTTCTCACGAACCAGCACTAAATGACTCAGCTTGAAAGGAGCTAGACCAGTGGTTCTCAAGGTGTGCTCTCCAGACCGATAACGGCAGCAGCATCACCTGGGAATCTGCCAGAAAAAGCAAATTCTCAGGCCTTTCCCCAGACCTGCTGCCTCAGAAACTCTAGGGTGGGGCCTAGCCATCTGTTTTTCAATGAGCCATCCAGGGATGCTGAAACAGTCTGAGAACAGAAATGAGATCTAGGCCAACCACCAGCAGTGCCATCAAATGTTCAGAGCCATGAGAAAAAGACAGGAACATGACTGATGGGCTAACTAGACCTCGAAGGAGGGAGCTCCATGGCCAACCTCACCCCCAGGCTGCGGATGCCTTTATGACTCTTAAAGAGTCCAGTCCTGGGACACCTGGGTGGCTCAGTCAGCAAAGCATCTGACTTTGGCTCAGGTCATAATCTCACCGTTCATGAGTTTGAGCCCCACATCACGCTCTGTGCTGACAGCTCGGAGACTGGAGCCTGTTTCAGATTCTGTGTCTCCCTCTCTCTCTGCCCTGCCTCCACTAATGCTTAGTCTCTCTTAAAAATAAATGAACAGTAAGGAAAAAAAAAATAAGGAATTCAGCCCTGCTCCAGACTTTCCTGTGCAGAACTGCCTCGATGAAACACTGAAACACGGGTGGAGAGAATGCTCTAACATGTCTTTTCCTCAGTTTGGGCTAGTTCCCTGGGCCTGATGGAGATGGAGAGGCTCCAGACCCAAAACAACTCTGCCTCCAGAGAAAGAGCATGAAGCAGGGGAGGACCCCCGGGAAGGCAATGCCATAAGTCTTGTCCATATCTCTGTGGTTTTTCCAGGCTGGATTTCTGGAACAACTTGGGCAGGTTGGGTGAAAAAGAACCATGCCACGCTCCCTTTGACCATTGTGGTGTGCTCTGGACTCTCACTTAAAAGCTTGTCAAAGAACCTTAACAAGGTTTCTGTGTGAAGACCCACTGAGAAAGAGGACCCAGACTCCAGCCCTGCATTCTCTCTCCACATACACTTTTGTCTTGGGTGTTACTGATCAGAAGGCATAGGACCACATGAGGTAGTGAACAAGCTTTCCATGCTGGGGCCCAGAGCTGAAGACTGTTGAATGTCCCTCATTGAGAGGCCAATGTGTCACAGTGACTGTGAGACGGGAAGTGTGCTGGACTTGGCAACTCTTCATGGTCGGTGGGGGTACAAACCAGCGCTACTGTTTTTGCATTAAGAAGAAGTTGAGGGCAGGCATTCTTAAGAACTCTGCAATTTCACTGTGGGCATCTGTTCTAGAGAAGTGCTCTAGAGAAGCATGCACATGTGTACTAGGCTATAGGTTTAGGAATGTCCGAGCAGAATTACTCATAATAACGCTTAAGTACAAACACTTCTCGAGGCCACCAACAGGAAAAACGTATACACAGATGAGGTGTATACTTCACCAAGCAATGACATAGATACATCTGATAGGGAAAAATCTGTTCTAAAATGGCCAACAGGACTGATAGGGAAATTCCAGTCCCCAACCGAAGACTCCCTTCCAGGTTTTTCTTCCTCCCCCTGCTTGCCTTGTCCACCAAATTACTACTAATGCGGAATATGGAAGTATCAGACTATAAATTGTTCCCTCTGCTCACGCTCAGGGCTTAGACCTCTGGAGAGGGATCTCCTCTGGGCTCTATGGTGTGAAATAAACTTCCTGCCTTCCAAGATCTCCAAGTACTGTTTGGTTCTTCTGCCAGGTGATCCAGACCAGGTTCCAAGATGCATCAACGTGGACTAAATACATCTCACAGAGTATGGACCAAAAGAAGAAAGTGATAAAAGAATAGCTACAGTATGATACCACCCACAGAATTCAAAAGCA